TTAGCAAAATCAGAGCTAGAGTATGGCCTTGCGTGAGGTGGGAATCACACCCGCAGCTCGTAGCCTTGGAAGTTGTGTGTCAGGTGATGTAAATCTGCCTCTCTTATGCTCAGACTCTCTTCAACCTCCATATTTCAAGGTGTAGGCAGGCTTTATAGTAGATGCAAAGGTCACTCAGGGCATCAGAACAGTAAATAGGTCAGGGGGTTACAGTATAGGCATCCGTGGGAGTTATGGGGCAGGAAGGCTTAGGGAGAGGGACTAGCATAGGACAGGGTTTCAGATGGTACAGGAGCAGGTTCAGAGATGAGTGAAACTAACCCCGAGTGCTCTGCTGAATCGACATTTCTATCTATGTGCACCTTAAGAGAAGGATGGAAGATGAAATGCCAACTACAGCAGAATGACCCTACGGGTCATGTCTCCAAAGGCGAGTATATCTGGAAAACACCATGAATGAAATTCTGGCTGAATGGAAATCAGTGAGAATTTTGTCATTTAAACAAGTGGGACCAGAATTCCACCCAGCATTTGCACAGGCAAAGTGTATAAATGAAAGTGCAAAGGGACAGCTAAGTGCATTGTGTGTGCAATGGTTGTTTGTGCACACGAGAGTGAGACCCACCTCTGTGCAGAAGGCCAGCTTAGGCTTTACCAAGATACATTAAGTAAATACTAGCCAGGAACATGCACGGGGCATATCGAAAGTATCAAGAGACACTTTTCCCAGACTGCTGGTAGAGCTATTGAAGTGGCTGGGCTCCAGGGCCCTGTTAATTTGCCCAGGACCCTTTGCCTCCTCTCACTTGTTTAAATGACAAAATTCTCACTGATTTCCATTCAGCCAGAATTTCATTCATGGTGTTTTCCAGATATACTCGCCTTTGGAGGCATGACCCGTAGGGTCATTCTGCTGTAGTTGGCATTTCATCTTCCATCCTTCTCTTAATGTGCACATAGATAGAAATGTCGATTCAGCAGAGCACTTGGGGTTAGTTTCACTCATCTCTGAACCTGCTCCTGTACCATCTGAAACCCTGTCCTATGCTAGTCCCTCTCCCTAAGCCTTCCTGCCCCATAACTCCCACGGATGCCTATACTGTAACCCCCTGACCTATTTACTGTTCTGATGCCCTGAGTGACCTTTGCATCTACTGTAAAGCCTGATGAGTTTCAGATTTCATCCCAGAATCCTTTGGAGACCCATGCACATGGACACATTTAGAAACAGTGTTGGTTTTATATGGGTGGATGCCAAAGGAGACACTGGGCCAGATGAATCCCTGGAACAAGTCCCTGGATTTCAATGGACTTACTCCAGGGATGAATTTCGCTTCATCTATTGCCTGGATCATTCCTGTTTAATTAAAAAATATGCCAAGACGAAGTTAAATGTTTAGAAATGAGCTTGTGACTCATTTAATCCTGGTAATAAAAATCTTCCCCCTCACTGCCCCGGATGCACACTAAATTATCACTGGGCTGGAGTCCATAGCAGTGTCTCACTTTGCAGTTTGAAGGATTATCAAAGCTACTGCTTGTCTGCCTTCTGTGTCTGTTGGCCATGCCAGCATCTTTGCTGCGCTTTCTCTTCATGCCCTGGAGGGCTCCAGATTTCTCAGTGAACCAATGGAACAGGAAGATGAGCAGGGTTGGTCCCTTCCCAGAAAAACCAGCGAAGAAAGATAGTCTGCTGTTATTCACCTTTAATTTTACTGAGTCCTTTGGTAAGCAGTGAATGATCTTGGTTACTATTTGCCCAGCTATATCACTAGTGCCTGGAGTTGCCCTAGAGAGAGGATGAGGTATTGTACAAACTCCTGTGGCAAAATCTTCCAAGCAAATCAGGACGTGTTCTATACTGGAAATATCAACATTTTAATCCTCACTCTGGGGGAGGAGGCAGCTGAGCAGTTTGATATCTAGGTAGGTGGGAGATGATGGAGGAAGCTTGATCCAAGTTGAAAGCTTTACCCGCATGATGGTATATCTGGGATATGTCAAGCTTTAAGTTTAATGTGTATTTAATCTCTGTTTTCCTGCTATCTTTGATATAGCCCCCTCTGATCAGCTGGACTGTATTTCTCATCCTTAAAGAAGCACCATTACTCACCACTGCATTCACACTATTCCATCAGCTCTCTGATTGGGGCCCAAGTCAAAATGACCCCCCTTCTTTTTAAAACTCCAGGTTTCATTTGCTCCAGATCCTGCCTCTCTGTGCACACATCCCTACTCACTCTGTCCCGTTACAGAATGTCCCTATTGTTGAGCAAGGGCCATCCCCTACGCAGCATTTGAAGTTGGGAAGAGCCCTCTTGTGCATCCTGCCCCCTGTTCCCAGTCTCTTCAATTCTCCAGCTTGTTTCAAGTCTCAGTTGAAAACATCTTAGTCTGAATTTTCTATGGACTTCAATGGGGCCACACCAACAAAGAACCTCTCATGCTGCTTCTCCTTCGGCCACTTTTAGAAACGAACCTCTCACTGTTCTGAGAAGTTCAAATCAATATTTTTTCCTGTTCTGGGTTTCATTTGAGTTCAGAGGTGCCAAGCTGAGATGTGTTGTTACTCCTGGTATTTCCAGCCAGAAGCAGAACAAGCACCAGAAGTCTCATTAGTCTGTTCTTGCAAAAGTCTGTTGCTGGTCTGAGGAATGCCTCTCACCCCAAGGATTTATTCCTAAAAGCTTTCAGCTCCCATTGGCTCTGCAGCTCTCAGTGTCAGGCCTTACATTTTGTAACATGATGGGTACATTTACAGCACTGACTGCATGATTTAAATGATAAATAATAATTATATTGATCCAAAAAATTAAGCCAGCTTGGAAAAGCTTAAAATAAGCATCCAAAATACCTACACCAAACCCAGACTCCAAAGCTGTATGTGAGCATCACTAATTACTGCTATATAGTTATGTTAGATTAGTGCATTCAGGCCTCAAACCAAGTGCAGGGCCTCACTGTGCTAGACTCTATATAAAACACATGTCAGATAAGCTGTCATGACAGGGACTATGTTCTAAATCCATGGTGTACAACATGCTAGCCAGTAGCCACATGTGGCTATTTGGCCAGATGAGTGTGGCTAATTCACTATAACAGTAGGCAATATAATGGCTACTGCTTCAGAACTAGTTGGACACCACGGTTCGAAATAGGAAATAGAAAAGGGAGAGAGGGAACAGAGGCAGAAGAGATTTTCTGATTCCCCAAGATGAGACAGCAAGTCATTGGCAGATCTGGGAGTAGAACTCCCAGTCTGTTTCTGTTCCCTTTTCTTTCCTTTCTTGCCTTTTTCCTGTTAATTTAACACAACATATTATTTTCTTTACCCTGTGGCTGCACTACTGAACTCTGCAAAACATTTTGTGAAATGACCAGAATAGAAACCATCGCTCAATATAATAATAATCACAAACATATTTATATAGTAACTTTCATCAAAGTATTTCAAAGTGCTTTCCAGTTGGATAATTAGCATTATCTCACTGTTATAGATGGGGAAACTGAGGCACGAGACAGTAATGTGACATGCTTAGTTTGGAAAAAAGAAGATTAAGGGGGGACATGATAGCGGTTTTCAAATATCTAAAAGGGTGTCACAAGGAGGAAGGAGAAAATTTGTTCCTCTTGGTTTCTGAGGACAGGACAAGGAGTAATGGGCTTAAAGTGCAGCAAGGGAGGTTTAGATTGGACATTAGGAAAAAATTCCTAACTGTCAGGGTGGTCAAATATTGGAATAAATTGTCAAGGGAGGTGGTGGAATCTCCCTCTCTGGAGATATTTAAGAACAGGTTAGGTAGACATCTGTCCGGGATGGTGTAGACGGAGCTTGGTCCTGCCTTGAGGGCGGGGGGCTGGACTCGATGACCTCTCAAGGTCCCTTCCAGTCCTATGATTCTATGATTCTATGCCTGAGATCATATGGTTAATGAGAGGCAGAGTCACTAAAAGATACCACATCTTTTGATGCCCAAGCCTGCGCTTTACCCACTATACAATATTGCCTCGTTTCATTCACCTCTTTGTGGATGAAGTCAAATTGCAGCATTATTTCTCTTCTGAATTTACTGAAAACAAAACAGCTTTGTACAATCAAACCAAACCTCTGTGCATGTGAATGACTGAGACCAAAACAGTAAGACTCTGTAGCCACACCACTTACAGCAGCTTCACATTCCTCGCTCAGAAGTGTGAATAAGCCACCCGGAGCGATGTAAGTTACACCGACCCAAGTGCTGGTGTGGTATGTCAGTGGGAGAGTCTCCTGACAACATAGCTACTGCCACTCCTGGGAACTGGAGGATTTAAGTCAGTGGTGGGCAGCCTGTGGCCTGAGGGTCACAAGCAGCCCATCAGAGTTCTATGTGTGGCCCACGAGACATTTTGTTACCGTTGCCCACGTGTAGGGTTGCCAGATTCTGCTCATTTCCATACACATAATTTTTTTCTTGTGGCATGACTGAAGTGATGTGCATGTAAACCAAAGGCATGTGGAGTGAGGGAGGGCTGATTGCACACGGCACTGACTGTAAGAGCCGTGTGCTCCCTCCGCAGCCAATCAGAGCACTGCTACGGTTTAATCGGCACCTTGCAGATTATAGGCACACAAGTGCAATGAGCAAAACTGTCCTGTCCTGGGAGACCGTCTTGCGGCTCCCGGAGATGAAGGAGGCCATCCTGTGCCACTCACTAGCCTAGGCTGCCCGTCGCTGAATTAAGTCGACAGGCAAACTTTCTGCCCTTGGCTTGCAGTGCTGCAGTTGCACCACCGCCTAAACAATGTGCTGTAGGGAGTAATACATTGACTGCAGGAATGAACAGGCCTTTTCCCATCTCCAACTTCTAGGACTCTCTGCAGCCCATCCATTGTAACTGGCATGGCTCCCCAGCCCCAAGTGAGCGATGCTTTCAGTGGGCCGTGCACTCCTTTCCACACAGAGGGGACAGCGTGATCACGGCTACCATGCAGACAGAGTGGGGTGGATGTGGGGACTCACCACTGTGCAGCAGAGAGGCCAGAACCACCAGAGCAGAGCCAGCATGAGGAGAAGGAACAGGATCAGCAGGGCGATGGCCAGGATGGTCCCATCAGACTGCAAGGGGAGAGGCAAAGAGAACGTGAGCCACAGCAGGAGCTAAATACAAACTCCCTCCTCCCCAGCACTCCCAGAGCATCCTGCTCTCCGAAGGGAGTGCCAGGCTCAGTTACCGAGAGAGGCCCTTGCACTCTCCGAGTACCTTTACTTTCAAGGCATAAATCCCCAAGCCCCGCAGCCCTCTCCTGGCACCTTCCCTCCTCCCTCTCCCCACATCGTCTCTCAATCACTCCAGTGCTAGTGACAGTGGATCCTTCAAAGCCTGGCGGTAGCTGTAGGGTTGCCAGGTGACCGATATTCACCCAGACAGTCCGGTATTTTCGGCTCCAGTCCAGTAAAAAATTCAGAGAATACCGGACACCTGAGATGTCCATTTTTTTCTGAATTTTTCCCCAGCCAGGAGGGGAAAATGCCGGGCACCTGGCAACCCTTCAAACACTCAGCACCTGGCCTCCCCCCCAAACCACAACC